TTCCACGAGGCAGCCGGAGCCATGGCGTGTTCCGGAAAGCTCAAATCACTGTGCCCATGGCCCATGGTGTAAACTGCTGGGCAGGCAGGACAGCTCCCGTCTCCTCCTCCCCCTCGTCTGGGCTCCTCACACGTCTTTACCCGGAGTCTGCCCTTGGGTGTCAGTTCTGACCCAGACAAGGCATTTCCACAGGGTCACGTAGCCCCTCGGTGCTAACGCACACCCTCGTGCACATCGGTCAAGACAGATGCGGCCATATACATCAGCCATGCCATTCCTTGTTCTGGAAAAACATGTTTCGAAACCTTGAGAAATCTTCTCTTTGTTTTACTTCTTTTTTGTTTTTCTTTCTAAAAAATATTTTATTACTTTTTTTTTGAGCAATTTTTCTTATAGGGTGCATGAGCTCACCAGAGAAATGCAGATACAGAGACAGCAAAAAAAAAAAAAAAATCACACACACCCCCAGGGTAAGTGGCCATACCGCAATTCCTTTCCCTCCGTTCTCTTCCAAGGCTTTCGGGCACGCACGTGTGCCTAACATGACTTCTAAGCCACCAGGTCTGGGACTCAAGCCACAGCTGACTACGTGGGAGTCCAGCAGCACAACCATTATGTCATCTGCGGGACCCGCATCTGACATAACGTGGCGAATGTGCAAGATTCACTGCTGAGTGAAGCAAACCAGGCTATGAGGGAGAGACACTGTATGTCTCCTTTTAACATATACCCACTGTCCGCACTCCATGGTGGAAACTGAAAGGTTAGAGGGCATAGAAGCATTGCGAATGGTTACAGACACTGGAGACACTGTGGGAGGAGGGAGGGAGAAGGGGGAGAGCGAGAGGAAAGGAATCAAGGAGAAAAATAGAGAGGCAAGACCTTTGAGGGGCACAGAAATGGAGGGCTGTCTGTTGATGATGACACGTATGGCATCTTCAACTTATCTGAGTTCATGTTGGGTAAATTCATTTTAGAAGTTGTTGTGATGGGGGGAACCAGCAGTTAGCGTAATGGCTATGTCGCTGGACTCCCACGTAGTCGACCGCGGTTCGAGTCCGGACCCAGTGGCTTAAACTCATGCCGGGTGCGTTTTTGTGCTTGCCCAATATCCTGAGAGGAGGATGGAGGAGAAGGGATTGCGGCGTGGCCATCTCCCCTGGGGAGTGATTTCTCGCTTTCTGTCTCTTTGTTCTCTGTCTGCCAGGCGAGCACACGTGCCCTATAGCAAAAACCTCTCCAAAGAAAAAAAAAAGAATGAAAAAAGAAAAAAAAAAAAGAAAAAGAAGTTGTAGTGATGTACAGTGATTGAATGTATGAAATAAGTTAAAATAATGAAATTTGCATTTAATCACTGTGCATCTTTGCATGGTACAAAATTGCTTTCTCAGCGTGAATATAATGCACATCAGTCAAGACAAAGACCTTGCCGTATACGTTACCATCGACAGACAGCTCCATTTCTCTTTCTTCTCTGATCCTCTCCTATACTGTCTCTAGCACCCTCAGTTGCCCTCCCTACCATTACACCCCCCCAACCTTTTAGAAAGTGTTCTTCAAAAATCTAAGATAATTTTGATGAGCAGGCTCCAGGATGACTACGACCCCTACGTGGTTGAAGAGCCTAGTGACGAGGAGCTGGCCTGGAGCAGCTCTGAAGATGAAGTGGATGTGCTTTTACATGGAACTCCTGACCAGAAACGAAAACTCACCAGAGAGTGTCTTACTGGAGAAAGCGAATCATCTAGCGAAGATGAATTTGAAAAAGAAATGGAAGCGGAGTTGAATTCCACTATAACAACAATGGAGGACAAGCTATCCTCTCTGGGCACAGGACCTTCCTCAGGACATGGGGAAGTCGGAACAGCTCCAACGAAGTACTATGATGATAGATATTCTGGTTCTGATTCTGAGGATGAAGAAAAAGCCGCACAGGCAGACGAGAAAAAAGAGAAGAAACGACACAGGATTCCAACAAACGACGAATTACTCTATGATCCTGGGTCGATGCACAGAGAAGAGGTTATGGTTTGGGGCTCCAGAGGCCACGTCAACAGCCCGTTCCGAACAGTGACGCTGTCTTGCATCGCCCTGCATGACCACACTGTGTCCTGACCGCCACAGGCGTGAATCCTGTGAAACTCGATATAGAGCAATGTTTGTGATGGATTTCTCTGTCAACAAAGAGGAGGTCCTGAGATACAACACCCCAGAGGACAGGAAGAAAAGGTGGGGCCGCAAGAAGATGACTAACTGTGAAGGTGCTGCAGAGCAGGCCGAGACAGAAGGGGAAGAAGTCTGTCACCCGGTCGCGTGCACCGAGTGTGCCACTGAAGTGGCAGTCTACGACAAGGACGAAGTCGTTCATCTGTTCAGTGTTTTAGCAAGCCACTCCTAAACAGCTGGATTTAATTACCCAAGGCTGTACACAAGGCAAGTGAGCACAGTTACTCTCTTCCTGTCTACTCATATCATTGAGTAACATTGAGTTGTTGTTTGAGGAAGCGTCATTTCATCCTTATGAAAGAGAATGGTTATCAACCTTCTTATCAACCTCTTTTCCTTTAATTTTCTCCCCAGTTCTGATGGGGACTGATTATTCATTCCCTTTTCGATGAACGTTTGGAAACTCTGGGCTTTTTATTTATTAAATGCTCTTTTGAATTAAAATGTTCTGGAGTTAAAAAAAAATCTAAGATAATTTTGTAATTCGCCTTTCAGTCTGTGTTCATGTGTCCTGACGTTTACTGTAGCTTGAAGGGGGCAGGTCCCTGCAGCCACCACGGGCTGTCTAGTAGACAGGCCATAGTTCCCAGGTCGTGGTCATCCGTGTGTTTGCACTGGACACCTGACTTTGTCAGCTGGGATCACCAGAACGTGGCCTGCTGTGAGCGAGTGACTGGGAGTACAGCTTTGCTACGGGGACTAGGCCTTCTGTGATGGGGGCAGAGGAAGAGGCCGTGGGAGGCCATTACCGTGGCTCATGGTGGTCAGCCTGAGGCTGGAGGTCAGTGGGCTGAGTGTGAGGGGAACGGCTGGCTAGGAAGTCGGGGAGGTCAGGGACACAGTGTGGCC